GGGACTAAGGTTCAAGTCACCAACTGTAAATGCTGAGGAGAGACAGGAAAGGCAAACAGATAAAATCAGCTAAGTTCCAGGGTCAAGCATCCATGCAGAAGTGAGAATTAGGAGTTAGAATAAGCAAGTACAGCTCAGAGGAAGCTTGCTAGCTTAGCAAAATTATGATAAGGTATGGAAAAATACTGAGATATTAAAATATTTACTGTTTCTGGGGGATCCATCTGTTCCATATAACCCTGACACATTCATCAGCTACCTGGGAAACACCTGGTTCTCTCAGGTCTTCAACCCTAATAATAGTGACAATTAAAAAAAGAAGAAGAAGAAAAACACAACACACATGACCAACTTATGTCAGCCGTGAATGGTCAGGATAAAGAAGAGACCACTGGCAGGCACTGAAAAACAGAACATAAGAGATTTTTGAGAGCAAAGGATTGATCAAATAGAACCAAATACAGTAAAGCTATGAAAAAAACAAGAACAGAAAAAAAGTATTAACTTTGAAAAAGCAGAATCCCCAACTACAAATATAAAAATGCATATATATTCAGTTTTTTAAAAGGCAGGTTTTTGGCAAATTTTCTTTAAATGCATTTGAGAAGCAATATAGTTTAGGAGTTTTATATGGTTTAGGAGTTTTTGTTTTGTTTTGCGTGTTAAATTGCAATTCCCTTTCCTTTGTGGTCATCTGCCAGATCATATTATGATTGCCTGAATCCAATGACCTATTATAATAAAGCATAATGAAGAAAATAATTTCATAGTGTCAAAAACAGGACCAACATTACACAAACATTTAGCAAGCAAGTATTTTTCTTCACATAAATTTGGGTAGCTGTGATAGCCTTTATCCAACATTTTAGATTGTTCTTTGATGCTGTGGAACCAACAGATACATTATAAATTTCATAAAGTATTCATTAGAAATAACTCATGCTCTGCATTAATTCTTTTGTAGGAAGCAGTACTTAGTTTCAGTTGTGATTGTACTTTTTACATACCCTTTATGAACCAGATCCTGTGCCTAGATGCATCCTTCAGACAGTTCAAAGACTAATAGACCATTAAGTAGCAATATATAAATTCAAGTGTGTTTAAATGCAAACTGAGTGACTGATGAATACTGAAAAGAGGGTAATGAAAGAAAGGTCAAGGGTAGATTATAGTTGTGACTTCATTCTTTTTAGAGCTACCTTTTTCATACAAAGACAGAGAAGTCTGCTAGAACAACAGTGGGGAAGAGCCCTTGAAATGTGGGTTTTCGCAAAAATTTCTACAGACTGGTATCTCAAGGCCCAAGTGAAAGAAGTTGTTTCAAAAGGAACCTAAAGCCTGGGTGATGTGGAGTGATTTGCCTTTATAGCCCAGGTGAATGGATACCTCCAATTGGTGATGTTCTTAATTCTGGTCCATAGGGATCTTTCTTTGAGTCCTATCTCTTGGACCTTAAATAACCCCACCCTTCCTAGCATCTTCCTTGACACTTTTCAACACCTTTTCTGGTGTCTGGAAGAGACCAAAGCTGACAGTGCATCTGGGCAAAGCACGCACTGAATCCGTGTGAAAGTGGAAGCATAGAAATGTTTGGTTCCCCTTCAAACTCTGGGACAGCCAGGAGACAGTTCTATCCGGTCAGAGATGTCATTTGTGATGTCATTTCAACACATGAGCAATATAACAACAATACTAAGTAATATCTTACTCTTTGCACTCTATTTTCAAAATTTGGTGGTTAATTTACACTTGCAGCACAGAATTTAGACTAGCCACATTTGAACTGCCCAATAGTCATATGTGGCTAGTGAATAAAATTTTTGTTTTGTTTTTTGTATGGGGTACCAGGGATTGAACCCAAAGGCACTTAGCCATATCTCCAGCACCCCCACCCTTTTTTCTCTTTTTAATTTTGAGACAGGGTCTTACAAGTTGCTTAAGGCCTCACTAAGTTGCCAAGGCTGACTTTGAATGCTCTACCTTCCTGGTCTCAGTCTCCTGAGCCTCTGGAATTAAAGGTGTGCGCCACTGCACCTCACTCAATGAATACTTTTTCTTGAAGTCCACACTGTCTTGTGGGCCCACTGATTCCTGAAGAGAATGACCCAGATTCTCGACAGATTGAGATAATCAACTAAAAGAGGTTTAAAGCTTGATTCACTGAGGTTATCCTCACAGTCAGCTGGGCAGAAATGTGAAAAGACGAACTTGGGACTCATAGGGAAGTTGGGTCAGTTCTAAGAAAAACTGTTCTTCTCACCCAGAAATGTATTAATTGGGAGTGAAAAAGTGCACTGGCTGGAGCTGACTGGGACTTTTGATCCTGCTTAAGGGTCCTATCTTGCTTGTGATACTTAATATTATTTTACCTACCATAAATTTGAGCCCATTTGTACTTTGCATTTTCAAACAACATAATGCCAAACATCTATTAAATCCTTTAAAAATTATGACTTACATTTCAGAGTCCTCAGAATTTCTAAGCTTTTCATGCTTTTTATTCTTATAGTTTTATTTATGATAAATAAATTCTAATATCTGGTTTTGACTCATAAAATACTCCCAAGCATTTTGTTTCTTCCAGAGCTTTCTTTGTTTTAAAATATAGTTTTTTTTCCATTAAAATGTTGGCTTCTTGAAAAAATTTAAACCTCAATTTAAATGTTCTTTTATTGCTCAAATAAAAGCCTGATTCATCAAACCACCTGGTCATTGAAAATGTTTCATCATTTATTGAATAGATCTGTTTCATCAATCTCCAGTGAAACCATACAGACTGATCAAGAATTTTATAGCTTTTAAGTGAATAATTCACTTCTATTTCCATTAGCAGAAAACATTATGATTGTCACTTACAGATTATGAATGATAACTTATG